CCCCAGCCGGCACTTGCGGACTTCAACTCCCAGAATTCCCCAGCCGGCACTTGCGGCCTTCAACTCCCAGAATTCCCCAGAATTCCGGGAGTTGAAGTCCACAAACCTTAATGTTGCTAAGGTTGGACCCCTTTGTTGTAACTACTCTGGGTGTTTGGTTTCACGCGTGCAATTCTTTACCTGCAGTTGCAAAGTCGCAGATTCTATGATCCTAACCACAACTCAGCCTCTTTTAGCACAAAACATTTTGAAGCCCTGCCTGCCACAATTTTTCCCCTAGTGTGATGGAGCGCCGGAGTGCAATCCTGCAACCTTTTTTAAGCAGAAGGAAACTAGAATTCTTTTAAAAAAATAATTTGGGGCAGGAGGGGGGAGAAGGGAGGAAGGAATGAAATATCACTGTTTCTGTTGCTCCCCACTGGGAGGAGATTTCAAAGTATTTCTGGCAGGACTAGCAGATTCTGTAACAGCTTTGTTCCCTATGCCATCCATCTAGTAAACTCACAATATTTGTTTTTCATTTATACATCCGGACTACACTGCATTGTTTCTCTGTACCATATAATAATACATGTGGGTATGTGGGATGTGGTGGCTCAGTGGCTAAGACGCTGAGCTTGTTGATCAGAAAGGTCCACAGTTTGGTGGTTCGAATCCCTAGCGCTGCATAATGGAGTGTGCTCCCGTTCCTTGTCCCAGCTTTTGCCAACCTAGCAGTTCGAAAGCATGAAAAAATGCAAGTAGAAAAATAGGAACCACCTTTGGTGGGAAGGTAACAGCATTCCGTGCAACTTTGGTGTTTAGTCACACCGGCCACATGACCACGGAGACGTCTTCGGACAGCGCTGGCTCTTCGGCTTGGAAACAAAGATGAGCACCACCTCCTAGAGTCGGGAATGACTATACATACATGTGAGGGAAACTTTTACTATGTGGGTAAAAAAATCATATTTTTAAATCTATTTATTTGTCATATTTACGTAGTGTATATTGGAGGTTGGAGAGCTGAATGCAACAAAATCTCATTTTAATATATGCCGATTAGTGTACATTTAAAGTGACAATAAAGTTATTCTAAGTCATAAGCTTTTTCTGACAACTGGTGGGTTGAGTGATAGCAAGGAAGGAGGACTATGAAGCCCAGACAGCTTTACTGCCCCCTAATGGTCAAAACGGAAAAAAACAGAAGCCCACACATATCTTCAGGGTGCCTGGCGGTCTAATCGTAAAGTGACTGCCATCTAGTGGCTGCGATTGGTTTCTTCATGCCATAACATCCTAGCTGTCAATCAGCAGGACAGCTCAAAAGGGAAAGCAGAACCTGCTGTGTAAAATAGGATCTTGCAAACAAGCTTACCGGGGGCTTTTATAAACAGCAATGAGAAAATAGAGTACTGGGAGGGACATGACTGCAGGAGAAGACTAATTGCCAAAGTTTCTGTATCGGTAATGGAGAAGTGTAAATCTTTTTGGTAGCAGCGACCACAAAAATACAAATCTTTTTTTTTTTTTTTAGAATAATGTCCTTTTCTCTTTTCCAAATGGGACACGAGGACCTATATTTTTCCTTGGGATTGTGTCATTCTGACAAACACA